AAAAATAAAAAAATAAAAAATTTACTTTTAACCAGGTATGTATGCTACATCTCTCTGGAATGTCCTACACATCAAGAAAGCAATTTTGTTCATAAGTGATTTTTCAAACTGCTGAGTAGCAGAAAAGCAGAGCTGAACTATATACACAGTTTTATACTTTATTGATAAATGTACGGTTGGGTTTTAGATGACAGATCCATTGTAAATGGAGAAATCATAAATATATGCCAGGATAACGGTCTGTCCTCAAGGACTGAATTAGAGAGCCTCCACACCGAAGAGCTGTGTTTCCTTTCAAACTGGTGATGCTGTTAGGTCTTGAAGATTTATGTGTGCATTAAATGAGCACACCAAATTGCGGCAGTGATAACACAGTTGGTAAGTAACCATGAATAATAAAGAAAGAAGAACCACAGTCCCTAAATTCATTAAGTTAGGGACAGAAGTAAGGTAATTCCCATAATTTCTCAAATTGATGATGGCTTGACAAAAGAACCAAGGAATAATTATTAATAAAAAGAGCTCAGTGATGCTTGTGAAAGTGAGTAATTACAAATAAATTTAAAAAAAAACACTTGAAGAGTCTCTATAATAATTTTGGATAAGTCCTTTATTCAGTTAGGGCTTACAAAAGAAGTGGGCTATTAAACTAAATAACTAATAGGGGAGAGAGGGATTAGGTATAGATAAAAAAATATATATAAAAAAAAAAAAAATATATATAATTTATATTATGGTTGGTATATTGAAAGGAAGGGGAAAAAACACCCTTATAATTGGTGATTGAGCGCTTATAAAATTGCTACATTGAAAAAGACCAATTAGTAGTGTATTAAAGGGACACTATAGTCACCAGAACAACTACAGCTTAATGCAGTTGTTCTGGTGAGTAGAATAGCTCCCGTCAGGCATTTTCATTTATACACTGTCTTTTCAGAGAAAAGGCAGTGTTTACATTGCCCCTAGGGACACCTCCAAATGGCCACTCCTTAGATGGCCACTGGAGGGTCTTCCTGGCTTAGTGCTGCACAGTAGGCAGCCCTGCCGTTCAGCGTCCCCACGTTCTGCAGAGACCCTGAATTTTCTTCGTAGAGATGCATTCAGCATGTTTGTGTTCCTGACCCTATAGTGATCCTTTAAGGTCTGCAGTATGCTGTAAACCTTCTAACTTGGAAATTATCAGGGCTTCCTAATAACATAAGAAACACTATTAGTTCCAAAGTATCTGTAAAGTTGGACACTGTAGAGAACTCACTTAACAGCATGCACAGTTACAGCTTCAGGCTTCGATACAGTAAGATTTTTACTATATTTATGGAGGCATGAGGGGCCCAGGGGGGCTAGATGGTGGTTTTAACACTAAAGGGTCAGGAATACATGTTTGTGTTCCTGACCCTATAATGATCCTTTAAACATCTGTAGGCTTCACAAATATAGCAAATCTTAGATTTAACAGAATTAGAAAAAAATAAAAAATAAATGCTTTTATACATACTTCACTGAACACATTCAAGTTATCCATACTAGTGTCTAGGGATCGACAGATATTCTTTTTTGGGTGGAGGGGGGTTTATAGCAGGTACTGATAATCTGTGAACTATCAGGTCAACAGCAGATAAGTTATCTTATCGATACCGATATTCTGTACGTTTACCGTTTTGAAAAAATAAACTATTTCTACACAAATCTACTGTTAACTGAACATGTTTATTATTTATTTTTGCACATTTTTTTGTTAAGGTAAATGCACAAAATATAGATGCCAGTCAGAATTTTTTTTATGTAAGAATGTGTGTGTGTAGTGGATGCAGGGAGAGTATTTGATTAATGAATATAGTGTGTGTGTGTATATATATAGTGAATGCAGTGTGTGTGTGTGTGTGTGTTTGTGTAGTGTGTGTATATAATTAATGCAGAGTCTGTCTTTGTGTAGTGTGTGTGTAGTAAATACAGTGAGTGTTTGTGTAGGCATGCTATGTGTGTAAAATGGGGAAGCATTTTATTTTTTAAATATTAAATTTTTCAACATTTTGTTTTAATCCCCCCTCAAGGCTTCAAACCTCTATTAATTTGACAAAATAGAGCTTTTTTCCACAGCCTCCCCCTTCTACACTTATCAAGAGTGCATCTCGGGTGGGTTAACTCAGAGCTATCAGCTGATCAGTGTTAAACAAGGATTGATGGATTAAATATATTCTATTGTGATAGGTGGAGTTGCAGCTAGGGGCTGAACAACTTATCCCATAAATCTTGGCAGGACGAGGGTATAAGGCTAATGAAGAAAGACCAGAATGAGAGTCTTACCTTCTTACACTCCTACTTCCCTTGTCAGCAGCTCCCTTCAGCTCCCCTGTCTAACTCTCACGGCCTGTGTGCCGCGCGGAGCATTGCCATGGTAACCCGTGGCAACTCTAGGACCGCCTCGGGACTCGCGAGACAGGGGAGCTGAAAGGAGCTGCTGGGAAGGGAAATAAGAGTGTGGTGCAGGCCCAACAGGACCACGACAACCATCTAGGTTGTCATGCCCTGATGGTGGCCCTGGTCTGCATTATCAGCAATATCTGTATCTTTATAGGCAGATACCGATATTGCTGAAAATTCTGAATATCGGTCAGACCAATACTCGGTCGATCCCTACTAGTGTCACAATGCCCACAGGTAATAAAAGAACATCTGTTATGGATATCTTACACTCCAGCCAAGTATATCTGTGCAATGTCTCCAGAAATCCAAAGGTGGTGTGAAATATAGCTCCCAATCCCCCAAACATGAGCCAAGACTTCATGAAGGGGTAAAACGATCTGGTTTATTGATGGCCACAGCTCGGCCTTTTATGCAGGTCCTCCAGCAAGGGTTACTCCCACAGGGACCTTGTGGAGAACAGGAACACAAAATACAGTAACCAATAATTTTACAGTAAAACATAACACTCCCACATGAACAGTGAAATCCCTCCTCTCTATCCTGAAGATAATTGGGTTAAGTGTCCTGAGCAAACTCAATTATCTCCAGGTAGAAAAATATTTCAATTTTACAAAAGTAACAAAAATACATTCAAATATAAAACTTTGCTTTTCTCATTGGACATATCCCCAGATAGCTTGGGTCTGAGCGCTCAATATAGTCGAACAGCGCTCAGATCCCACGAACACAGTCAAATCGCCATGAAGCTAAAGAGTCTGTTCTCCGACTGTTTGTTTGAAATATGTCCAACATTAGCTCCAGGTATTGAGCTACCTGGGGTCGGTCTCCCTCGTATGTTAAAAGTACCGAACGGCATGGTGTTCGTGTAAATAGAAACGAATGAGGTGGAAGTTAGATATTCCCAGCAGTGTTCGTGTGAAATTGTGGCCGAAAATAGTTCAACGCAGTCGACGACCAAACACCACTGGGCATTCATCGGTTTAAAATGGCCGCCGCCACGTGTTTGTTCAAACGAACGGCAAGCACCAAGCACCAAGCCGTTCGACAAATAGCTGTGGTTAACCGCAGCTTCTGGGCGATTAATGAGCTGCCCACTCCCAGTGCGGGTGGTCTGGCTGTTCGGTAGTTTGTTCGTTTTTTTTTTTTTTAATGAAAGAACGAAATAGGGTTAACTACACGAACAGCAGACGAAATACAAAAGGCAGGACATTCATCTAACTGATTTTTACTGGGAGGGTATCTTAACTAGTCTCATTATATCCTGCACTTAGTTGTACAATGACATTAGAATTACATATGCTTCTGCTCATTTAAATCAGTACATGCCATAAGCATTCACAGGGCCAGTCCAAAAGCTTTTAGCTACACAGGAGAAAACAACTCTGCCCAATACATCATCGTCTCTGCAAACTTCCTTTTGCCACCTTACCCATACGTTTGCCCGTTTTGTGTATTTTAAACTATTACGGTGTCTCTTTTCCACCTTTTGTCATTCTTTTTCCTACTTTTGAGTCTTTATTCCCTCTTTGCCTTCTGCATTAGTTGTGCCACAGTCTTATAGTACGGAATATAGTTTACTGCTCAATTAGAGAGTACATCTGGTAACCATTCATCAGGACTGCTTTCCAGAGGACTAGAGTTTGTGTTTGATCCAGAGAATAAAAGGCATCTTGCATAACACCTCACCAAAACACAATGTACATTCATGCAATTTAGACATACAATCTATATTATATCCTGACTATGCTTTTAGCCTATGAAGCAAATTATATATATTTTTTTCTCATTTACAAAGCACCTATATATTTTAATTTTCTTTTGCTGCTGAGTAAACAAACAAGAGACAAACAGAAGAGAAAATGAGTCTATCATCAGGAGCAGTGTAACTGGTACACCACAAGAGAAGGAACATTTCAAAAGTGGATGAGCTAGTTAAAAGGACCACTATACTGCCAGGAAAACAAACACTCTCGTTTTCCTGGCTCTAAAGGGTCCTTGGGCCCCGCTCACCCTTTGGGTCCCCCTCCCGCCAGGCTCTGCGGGGAGGAAGTGGTTAATCCCTTACCTTTCTTTCAGCGCCGGGGACTCTCCTCCTCCTTTCCCAGTCATCCGCTGAATGCGCATGTGCGGCAAGAGCCGCGCGCGCATATTCAGCCAGTCTCATAGGAAAGCATTCTCAATGTAGTAATGAAGGTCTGCCAGTAGAACCCAACTAACTACCTTAAACACTCAGCTTGCCAAAGTGCTGTATGTGTGAGGAGAACTTAATTGCAGTGTATAAAAAGTGCCAATTTATATTTCAAATCATCACTTTTATAACAAAAATATTAGAAACCTTTTCCTGGCTTTTAGTTAGGAGAGCTTTTTATTTTATTTTATTTTTTTAGGCAAAAAAAGCACCCTGTGTAACTAATGTGCACTTGCATCTCAAAATCAGCTCTGTTTGGAGGTGTTCTTATCACAGACTTAATTCTACAGTGCTACAGAATTTGCTAGTGATAGAGAGAGATAGATATATACATACATACACACTAATTTATTGCTGCATTTGTTCGTTATGGATATATCTAGTCCTCCCTTTATTCCCTGCAACAGAGGAAAATGATAGAGATAAAAAAAAATTAATAAATATATATATATATAATTTTTTATTTTTTTTTATTTTATTTTTATTATCTCTATCATTTTCCTCTGTTGCAGGGAATAAAGGGAGGACTGCTGATTTTGCAAGCTGCTTTTAGATATATCCCTAACGAACAAATGCAGCAATAAATTAATGTATGTTTTATTAGGGGTATGGCTACTTAATTGTAAAAATATAAAAAATTTTAAAAAGTCTCATTAAAGTGCTCCATTAAGGGTCACATCCTTTCACTGTAAATCTATTTGAGTGTTCTGATGTTTGAGAATAGTCAATGGCCCCCATAGCCTAGTAGCTACCTTTCTAGATATGTTTATCGGATGTTGAACGGAGGAGCATAGAAATGTCCTCAAAAAGCCTAGCAAATCATAAAAACCAATTACCCCTAAATAAAGCCAATATCAAGTGCTCAAAATGCAACCACACAGTGAATAGGATGCAAATTGAGGAAATTAAAGGACCACTATAGTGCCAGGAAAACAAACTCGTTTTCCTGGCACTATAGGGTCTTTGGGTCCGTTCCCCACTCAGGGTCCCCCTCCGGCCCGGCTCGAGGGGGAGGAAGGGGTTAAATTATTTCCTTTTGAAGACTCTCCTACCTTTTCCGACGTCATCCGCGTAATGAGCCGCGTGCGCATTCAAGCAGTCCATAGGAAAGCATTTATGTGCTCTAAACCATTAAATGCAAGTTCAATCTATACTAACATGATGTTGTGCTAAAACAAATCTTAACGAGAATCCACCTTACTCACGCTTTGGCTGCTCATGTTTACAACAGGAGTAGTTGTGAGCTAAAAATACCAATTGCACAGTTGTCTTGCAACATGTAGCTAGCAAATGGCCTGAACAAGTTATATGTAAAAAAAAATATCACTATCCACTATAGCTAGTGTTTTATTATAAAAAAATTGTAACCCGTTAAGGACTGAGCCAAATGTACACGTTGTGATCAAAACAAAATGTAAACAAAAACTTGAATTTGCGCTATATGCCTGTCCAGGCGTAATGTGCCTCTTTCATAGTATGAAAATGTGCACCCACACTTATTATATATAATTTTATTTAAGGGAAACAGGGCTTTCATTCAACAAATATTTTAGGTATGAAACTATTTAATATGAATAAAAAAAATGGGAGACAATAAGAATTTTAAAAACAAATTTAGTTCTACGTGACATTCTAACTGTGAATGTCATAATACTGTTTGCTTTTACTGCAATAAAATACATATATTTGTATTAAGTGATGTCTCACGTGTAAAACAGTACCCCCTATGTACAGGTTTTATGGTGTTTTGGGACGTTACAGGGTCAAATATCGCATGCTACATTTTTCAGTGTTTTCACACTGAAATTCTCCAGATTGGTTACATTGCCTTTGAGACCGTATGGTAGCCCAGGAATGAGAATTACCCCCATGATGGCATACCATTTGCAATAGTAGACAAAGGTATTGCAAATGGGGTATTGTCCAGTCTTTGTTAGTAGCCACTTAGTCAGAAACACTGGCCAAAGTTAGCATTACTATTTGTGTGTGGAAAAATGCAAAAAAAATAAAATAAATTTGAACGCCAATTTTGGCCAGTGTTTGTGACTAAGTGGCTACTAAAAAAGACCGGACATACCCCATTTGCAATACCTTGGGTTGTCTACCAAATAATAGTGTCAGTGTAAGTGCCGTTTGTGTGTGAAAAATGCATAAAATGTCACTTTCACTGACGAGATCATCCTTGTAATACACTTTACTGTTTTGAAACATTAATATTTGTGTTCAGCGAAGTCTCCAGAGTACAACAGTACCCCCCATGTACTGGTTTTATGGGGTCTTGGAAAGTTATAGGGTTAAATATAGTGCTAGCAAATTAAATTCCCTATACTTTCAGCCTGGGCTGTCAGGCAAGTTCCGCAAATTGTAATGAATAAAGTTATGTAATTATGGAGAGGGACTTATGTATATGGATATATATTTTGTTCTACGTGTATTTTGATATCTATATATTAATTTTAAAATACAGTTAGATCGAAATTACACATATTTATATTTTTTAATGTATTTACATATATATTTAATCAATATCATTCTACATGTACTTTGATATTAATATTAAAATACACTTATATATATATATATATATAGATTTGTTAAACTAATTTGCGTATGCCCACCCAGAATGCTTTGCGGTTGTAACATCGCTGCAGTTTTGGGATTTCTGTGAGAAAAGCAAGTCTTATGGCTTGACTGGTGCAGATTTTAATTTAACATGGTATTAACTATCCACAAACTTCAGGTGGAAGGGGTTTTCAATCACAATTTTTCCCCACCATAACCTATTTGGATTTTGCTTCCCAAGCACTACCAAGCCTCAATAAGCAAACCAGTAACCAACTTAATGCTGATGAGTTGCATTAACAACGAAACAGCTGTCTATGAGTGGTTCACTGGTTTTGCATCTTTTCCTATATTGTGTTTCAAGCAGTTGTATACTGCAAACACAGATTAAAAGGAATCCATGTTTAACCCCTTAAGGACTGGACTGTTTTTGCGATGTTGTACATTTGCGACCAGGCATATTTTTACACTTTTGTGGTGTTTGTGTTTGGCTGTAATTTTCCGCTTTCTCATTTACTGTTCCCATACAAATTATATATTGTTTTTTTCAGGACAAAAGGGGCTTTCTTTACATACCATTATTTATATAATCTCATGTATTTTAATTTAAAAAAAATACAAAAATCTGATGAAAAAGTAAAAAAACTAAATTGAACGCTAATTTTGGCCAGTGTTTGTGACCAAGTGGTTACTAAAAAAGACTGGACATACCCCATTTGCAATACCTTGGGTTGTCTTCTTTTGCAAATGGTATGCCATCATGGGGGTAATTCTCATTCCTGGGCTACCATACGCTCTCAAAGGCAACGTAACCAACCTGGCCATTTTCAATGTAAAAATATTTGACCCATATATTTGACCTTGTAATTTTCAAAAATGCTATAAAACCTGTACATGGGGGGTATTGTTTTACTCGGGAGACATCGCTGATCACAAATATTAGTGTTTAAAAACTGGAAACGTGGGGGCGGAGCTTGACCGCCGAGCCGTGCAGTCGCATCTGCCACGAGCTCTGATCCGGCGGGCAGAACCCGGGGTAAAAGCGACGGCTAACAAGCCCACAAAAATCAGAGGGTGCACCACCCACGCTGGGGGTGCCCCACTGAGTAATCAGACACCACCCCGGTACCTGTCGACGCTGGGAAAGCGGAATTCCACATGCGGCCTACTGGGGCTGAAGCAGGGGGGAGGCGGCCGCTCCCCTCGGCGCAAGAACCCACAAGCTACTACAACTCAGCATACCCCCCCCCCTATGGACCGGTGGGGGACATCCCGGTCCCCAAAGCATATACAGACCAGCATGGAACAAGACCACACCAACCACACCAAATGGTGGGGCAACAGACCGAAGAGGTACAAACAAAATGGCCGACCAACCTGCGTAGAGCAGGCGGAGCACCTGCACAAGGGCACATATGTCCCCTATGACAATATTTGACCGGACCTGCGCTGGTCTCAGGGCAGCACTGCGAAACCGGGGAGCAACTCACCGCCAAGCTGACCGGAAGGTGGCCTCATGGTTGCGGCCAACAGCGCGACGCAGGCACTACATACCGGTACCCCAAGCATCCAAGATGGCCGTCAGGCAAAACCGATACCGAAAGGCATCGAGAAGGGACACACGCTCTCACCCGCCCACAAGCAAAGCCAAGATCTCCAATCCAACAACGACGCACACTACTAAAATATCTGACCTAAATCCCGGTTACCAGCACAACACCAAGCGCCACCCCTCAACCGATACTGCAACTCAAGTGAAGGGGAAAAGGCACACCACAAAGAGACGGCCTGGAGCTCAACCCCGAAATAGAGCCAACGGGCCCCGCGAATGCAATGACGTGGAGAATAGCAACAGCCGGCTGATCATACCAGCGCTGGGCATAGGATGAAGTGCCTACCACAATGCCTCAAACGGGTGAAGGGAATGCTGGGAGCACACGATCCAGCTAAGCACCCGGACCCTGAAGCATAACTCAAGCCACGAATGGACTAAGCTCATAAGATCTCATGGACTGGTGGTAATAACACTAAAACCTTAGGTGAAAAAGTTCCTGATAGTCCTCTGGACACTGAAAATTGATAAATCAGTTAACACCCAAGCTTAGAAAACGTAAGGATGCTACTTTGAGTACTAGGCTGAACATAGCAATGTGCCACAGGGCAATCATGTCTAGAAAGAATAAAGATATTAGGGTATAATATAGGCAAATGATAGCAATGTTTTATATTAAGATGCCTCATCACATAAATACCCACAGCATAAAGTTTATATGCACTATGTCATAACTAGATACTGCTCTGCTACAAAACATGCTCACACCATATCGATTCTAGCATAGGCGAACCAGCACAGTTAAGCACCTAGCATCTTTATCTTACTCTTCCTTACTCTATCTCATTTAAACCTACTATGTTGTAACAGTTTAGTTAAGCTTGCAAAACATACAAAAATGTGCAAATTGTCATGCCACTGTTTCTCTTTTATGAAGCTTGAAATACGCTGTTGTGGCGTCCGTTGAAATCTTGTAACCATCTGCACAACCCAAAATAAAGAATAAAAAAAAAAAAAAAAACTGAAACGATAACAACATTATATCATCAGTAAAAGTGCTGTTTTGTGTGTGAAAATGCAAAAAAGTCACTTTCACTGACAATATCATCGCTGTGATATGTTTTACTGTTTTGAATCACTAATATTTGTGTTCAGCGAAGTCTCCCGAGTAAAACAGTACCCCCCATGTACAGGTTTTAGGGTGTCGTAGAACGTTACAGGGTAAAATACAGTGCTAGCAAATTAAATTCTCTGGAATTTCGGCCTGGGTTGGCAGGCAGGTCCCTCAAATTGCAATCAATAAAATTACTGAATTATGTAAAAATATTACATAAATACGCACGTAGAATTTAAATATATATGCATATTTATATATTTGAAGTCTACGTGTATATTTATATAATTATTT